GGGGGCGGGCCCGCCCTGGGGAGCGTGCCGGGGGTCCGCTGGGCTGGAGAAGAGCGGGCGTGGGGCGGAAGGTGGCGTCGGCCGCCTCGGCCCCAGCCTCTGCGCCGTCCTGGCCGCTCGTCACACCGTGCTCGGAAAAAAAAAAGTATCGAGATGTGGGTCCCAAGGGTCGGGCGGCCAGGGCTGTGGTCGCCGCCGGAATCCCGCTCCGAGTAATAATGCTAGCGACGATGGGGGTACTCGTGACACCTACGTCTTGAAACGCCTCTTGATGATCTGGCTGGGTTTGAGGTGTGGATCTGGAGAACCCCATTTTGCAGATGAGGACACTGAGCTTCCGAGAGGCCCGGATGCTCGCCCGAGTCTCTCACCCGTGGTGGGTGGTGTGCCGTTGGAACCTAGACCTGTGTCTTTCCAATCCCAAAGGCTTTGCTCTTCACCGTTAGGCCTGACCGCCACCTCCACACTCTCTTTCCTGTGCCCGTCTCATTTTCTCCCCCTGGGTCCTGTCCCCACGCCGGAATCGGGGGAGAAAAGCCAGACTGCTGGTCGACTTCTGTCACTTACCATCCCCACCTTGTAGTTGACGTCCCCAGGGGAGCTCATCCCTGTAGCTGTCACTCGGCCTCCTAGATGTCAGGCTCCTTAGGCCTGTTGGTTTCTCTCCTTTTCCCTAAATCCCGTATCTGTTGGCTTCCACTCGCCCTGCCTCTCAGCCCTCTTCGAGTGGAGGATTTAACAGGAGGAACACTCCTGAGATTAAAGGGGCCTTTGTGATGACCATTACCATATATTTGATGGTTTACAAACTACAGACGTTTATTCTTTCACGGTAATGGAGCCCAGAAGTCTGAAATCAGTTTCACTGGGCCCAAATCAAGGTGTCAGTAGGGCTTTGCTCCCGCCACAGCTCTAGGGGAGAGTCTGTTTCTTGCCTCTTCTAGCTTCTGCTGGCTGCCTAACTCCAGCCTGTGGCTCCATGGTCCTGTGGACTTCTGTGTCCACCTACCTCTGCTCTTCTGTTGTAAGGATACCCGTGATTACATTTAGAGTCCACCCAGATAATCGAGGATAGTCTCCCCTTCTGAAGATCTTTAGTTTTATCACTTTTGCCATATAAGGTCACGTTCACAGGTTCCAGGGCCATCGACATATTTGGGACCGATTTTTAGCTTACCACATCCTAGTTCCACCATGTAAGCATACCATTGAGATAGAAACCTAGGAGCAGTCCTAGACTACTCACACTTAATCTAGTGGGTCACCCTGGTGGTCAGAGTTTTTTTTTTTTTTTTGAGTTGGAGTCTCACTCTGTCACCCAGGCTGGAGTGCCGTGGCATGCTCACGGCCACCACAGCCTTGACCTGCTGGGTTCAGGTGATTCCTCCGCCTCAGCCTTCCAAGTAGCTGGAACCATAGGTGTGTGCCATCACGCTCGGCTAATTTTTTTGATTTATTGTAGAGATGTGGTCTCGCCAAGTTGCCCAGCTGGTCTCGTATCCCTGGACTCAGGCAATCCCCTCACCTTGGTCTCCCAAAGTGCTGGGATTACAGGTGCCTGGCGATCAGAGTCTTAAGTTTCTCAAATGCTTCTCCATCGCTACTGCAGTGCCTTATATCAGGCCCCATCATCTCTTGCCTGGGTTACTGTGTGGCAGTGGCTTACAACAGGTGTCAGCAAGTGTCATCTGTAAATGTTAGTAAATGTTTTTAGCTTTGCAGTCATAAGGATGGAGCTACTCAGCTGTGCCCTGGTAACACAAAAACTGCCATAGAAATACTTAAATAAATGGATATTGTATTCCAGTGAGGCTTTAATTAGTGAAACAGATGGCTGATGAGATTTTGCCCTTAGGCCTTATGCTCTTCTAACTTTTGCTCTATACTTCTGTTAGAATGATCCTCTTTTTTTTTTTTTTTCCTTGAGTTGGAGTCTCACTCCGTCGCCCAGTTGGAGTGTAGTGGCACGCTCTTGGCCAACCTAGCATCGACCTGTTGGGCTCAGGGGATCCTTCCGCCTCAGCCTTCCAAATAACCAGAACTGTAGGTGCACACTACCATGCCCGGCTAAGGTTTTTGATTTGTTGTAGAGATGAGGTCCTGCCAAGTTGCCCAGGCTGTAATTGAACCCATGGGCTCAGGCAGTCCACTCACCTTGGCCTCCCAAAGTGCTGGGAATACAGGCTTGAGCCACCATGCCCGGCCGAATGATTCTTTCAGATACGAAAATTCAGTTATTTTATCTCTGGTTAAAACTGTTCCTTGGCTCACAGTTACTTTCAGGAAAGTTGTTGAACACAGCATGGCAACATGTTCTGGTATGCTGAAAAAGTAAGTTGTTTGTGGTCAGGCAGACCTAATTTAAGTTCCATGCACTTTAGTTATTGACTAACCACCTTTCTTAACCTTCCTGTTTCCTCATTCAGCAAACAGGTTATTAATCTCCCAGAGTGTTATAAGACTCAAATGAGATAATAGAGGCATACCAAATGGTACATCTAGGCACATGTGAAGGAACGACTTGCAGTTTTGTGACTTGGCCATGCTCCTTGCACTTCTTGTTGTGCTTTATGTTTCCACTGCTTGTGGTGTGCATACCCATCCCCTCAGCCCAAGGACCCCTCATCTTTGAAGAGTTAGCTCAGACTTCTCTTCACCATCTCCTCAGGTAGAGTTAGAGCTGCTGGACATCTGTAGCATTCATTACCCACTTGTGATGATTGGCCTCTTTATTTAACTTCCTTATTAACTCTTCTGCTATATCAGGAACCTCTCAAGGTCAGCAACCAGTGTTAGACTCATGTTTGCTCTCCCCCAGAGTCTGGAAGCACAGTGCTTGTCCTTGAGGAAGTTCTCAGTCAGTGTTTAGATGTTGTTTGTTGTGTAGACTAGACCTTTTCTAAATGGCTTTGCTCTGGTTGGTAGCATTGGTCCTTTTTTTTTGCCTCTTGTTTCAGCAATAATTAAGAGTTATTAAAATTTTATTGTCTTTCCATAGCCTCACAACAAACAACCCTTTGTTCCCCTTATACAGGAGAGGAAATTTGAAGGCACAGCAAGGTTACATAATTTGCACAAGGTTAAACAGCTCCTAAGTGAAAAAGGAGTTCTAGTCCAGGTAGTCTAGGTCTGACACCAGGTGTCTACTGTGTTGCATTTATTAAGTGATTATTTAAATCCCAATCTTTTCACTAGGTTGAAGGGGCAGCTTTTTTCCTCCCAAGCATTGTTCTGTTTCATTTCTTTAATTTTAGAAGTATTTCCTTAAAATTTGGTCAATAAATAAATGCATGTGAAATCAATTGGCAGGGATAGCAATACTAGAATAGTTATTTGAATAGCAGGTTTGTTATCCTCTAAGTAACCACGGTGCAGGCCCTCCCTATATGGCTCCTAAGGTGGTAGCATTTATGCATAAAACTTTTATTACAGAGCCATTAGTACACAGGTGATGTTCAGTTTCCTCACTGGTGAAATATTGAACAATTTGATTCAGAAATATTTTGAAACAATTTGGCAGGTGCTTGTTGAGGTCTGTGTAAATATACATGGAAAAAAATACATGCTCAGGTCTCTAGGGAACTGATGGGGGGTTAGGGTCCAGATGTTATGACAGATATTATCACAGTAAGTGTGTATGAAATGTTATAATAATGTTGGGTGTGGTGGTTCAGGCCTGTAATCCCAGCACTTTGGGAGGTTGAGGCGAGAGAATCAGTTGAGCCCAGGAGTTCACCATAGTGTAGGCAATATAGTGAGACCTTGTTTCGACAAAAAAAAAAAAAAGTAGTTGGGCACGATGTGTGTCTGTAGTCCCAGCTACTTGGAAGGGTGAAGTGGAAGGATCACCTGAGCCCAGAAGGTCGAGGCTGCAGTGAGCTGTGATCATGCTGCTGCCCTCCAACCTGGGTGACAGGGTGAGACCCTGATTCAAAAAAATGTTAAGCTAGTAAATAGTAAATATGTAACATGTAGCTCATGCTGTGGCGTTAGAAGATGGTGTAATTAGGGGGAAAAGTGTGAGTTATCCTGTTTTGCACTCCTGGCCAGATGCATTAGGAATATTCTTGGCATACTACCCTTCCTCCTGGTGGTGGCAGCCTTAGGCCGGCCTTGGAGCTGGGTGTGGTCTAATGTGGGCTGAATTTCAGCCCCTGCACCTCAGCCTTAGCAGATGTTTTTTGTACAGTGTACAAACTGTCCAGCGGGTTGTGGTAGCCATGGGTGGAACTACTTGAATGGTGAGTTCGCCATATGGACAAGATTTGCAGGGACACTCTAGATGGAGGGGGCAACATGAGATTCAGAGATGTGCAATCACGGTGTGCTTTGAGGACTAAGTGCTCCTCGGAGTGTTGCTTGTGTTCCTGAGTTGGTTTCAGATGGGGTTGGAGAAGAGGATGTTGCTGACTGTTGACCCCTTGATTTTGACTGAGTGAAACCCACGGTGGACCTGTGACCGCCAGAGCTGTAAGCTAATAAACTTGTGTTGCTCTGAGCCTCAGGTGAAATATTGAACGATTTTTTGGTGATTTGTTACAGCAACAGTAAGAACTTTATACAAAGGCCATGCTCAGAGACTTTAATCTGGAAGCAGTGGGAAGTCTCTGGGGGAGTTAGAGAATCCATTAAGTTGTAAAGGTTCTGGAGGCTAGAGGCCAAGTGGGAGACTACTGCTGTAGTCTGGGTCTTGGTCCTCTAAGAAGCAGATACGAAGATGGGATTGAGTGAATTGGAGTTGATTGGTTGTTTGAGACAGGATCTCGCTCTGCCACCTAGGCTGGGGTGCAGTGGCAGCATGATCACAGCTCACCCTGAGGTCAAGCAGTCTTCCCACCTCAGCCTCCCAAGTAGCTGGGACTCTAGGCGTGTGCCACTGTGCCCGGCTAAGTTTTAAATTCTTCTTGTACTGGGGTGGGGGCAGTCTTGCTGTGTTGCCCAGGCTGGCCTCAAGTGAGCCTCCCAAGTAGCTGGGACTCTAGGCGTGTGCCACTGTGCCCGGCTAATTTTTAAATTCTTGTACTGGGGTGGGGGCAGTCTTGCTGTGTTGCCCAGGCTGGCCTCAAGTGAGCCTCCCACTTTGGCCTCCCAAAGCACTGGGATTACGGGCATGAGCCACTGTGCCCAGCTGAATGGGAGCTTTACTGGGGGGAAATGTCTGTGAAGGCTGAAGGAAAGGGAAGGGGAGTAGGAAGGGAAAGGAGAGGAGGATGGAAGCAGGGGCGGGTAGGAGCAATGTCTGCATCCCAGTTATAGGAAAGCTGATGGGGAGTCCTTGTTCCAGAGTCATCTGTTAGAGGAATCCCCTGGCCTGCTGGCGTGAGCCTGCAGTACTGCTGAGCCCAGCCAGTGACTGGGAACAGCCCAGAAAATGCATGGATCTTTCAAGGTGGATCTATAAGGATGACAGCTGATCCAGTCAGTCAACTATGCTCCTGACAGCTGGAGTCTGGGTGATTTCTAAGGCTGTCAGGCAGTGGGTGTGTGTTGGAGGGGCTGGTGGAGAACTGGGGATCTAGGCTAACGGGGACCTGTTGAGCTAGTTGTCTTACTTCAGCAACTGTTTTCACTATTGCTGAATGACTCCTGAGATTCATTTAGACTCTTACCGTAATCAGTTGCACTCTATAGAAACTCTGCATTCTAGTCCTGACATTTTTTTAAAAATCAAAATTGGGTCTGGTATGATTTGATCAGGTTGCTTTTCTTCTTTTGATTGTAATAGGTGGAGCTTCCTGGAAAGTTTCAAGACTTTTTTCTCCAGGCATTATTTCCTTAATGAGAAATAGGTATATCAGAGAGTTGTGAGAAGTGTAAGAGGTGGGTAGGTGCTACCCATCCTGTTCTCCCTTCTGCTTCTTCCAGCTTTTCCACCGTCATTGGGAAGCCTTTGATAAGGACCATCCCTGAAATTTCTCTTCCCTGATTTCAGAAGAATGATGATATAGATTTTAGAGTAAATGTGAGGATTGTGGAGACAGGAGTGATTTTTTTTACCCCCTTCCTAAGAAAGTGGTAAAGGGAAGAGGAGTTATTTTGTTTGTAGGAATCATGGCTATCTCCTGTTGTGGCTTCTACATATTTCTTGGGATATAACTGAAAATATTCTAGAGTGACGTTGGCAAACTTTTTTCTGCAAAGGGCCAGGTACTCAGTAGGAGAAGTGAATGGTTATAGCTGTGGCCCAGTAAAACTTAGTTTACAAAAACAGGCGCAAGTTGGGTTTGACTCGTAAGCCGTAGGGTGCTGACCCCTTCCTGTTTTATAGCATCAGCAGAATCAGCATTTTCTTTTTCCTTGGGTGACCTTTTTTTTTTGAGAATATGGTGTATGTTTTACATTGTAATGGTTGATGGTAGAGTTTGGAGCAGTTTCATTCTTCTGAATTTCCCCTTGGTTAACAGGCTTTAGGAAGATGTGCGGTATTTTGTAGCCCACCTTGCCTGTGCTGTGTCTCTTGCTGAAAATTAGACTGTGTTTCCACTCTACTTCCTATAGGTGTTTTATTCCCTGTGAAAACAGCATTTTAGCTGGAAACACCACAAGTGCAAGGGTGGGCCACACTTAATATTAACGTCCTGCTGGAAGATTATCTTCTAATTGAGGTTCCTTGCTGGGACAGAATGTTATTTGAATAAACCGTTTTTCTAATGCTGGTACATTGATTTTGCTTGCTCTCCAGTGTCTGGAATGATTTGTAGGGATTAAGGCAATGTTTTAATATTTGTATTTTTGGTGTCTGAGGGCAGAGAGTAACCCTGCCTGGGCTACGTTAAGAATTCTAGGGAAGATGATGTGTAGATTGTAAAATGAAATACTACTGTCATCCCTTTACTGCCTAGAGTGTAATTTAAATAAATGAACCTCACAAATGCAGCTTTTCCCTTTTGTGAATCATGAATAATTTGGCAGCCTATTCCCAATTCTGAGCAGTAGTTTCTGCATTCACCATCTGTAATAAAATAATTCTTTTGAGCAGCTGAAATGAAATCCAGAAAATTGGCTTTATGCTAATAAGGAACATCAGTAATGAACATTTGAATAATGTAAAGTTAAAGAGCAAAATGTTACTTATTGTGGCTTCAAAGCGTGGCAGACGTTGTTCCTGATTATTTTGAAATAATACCCCTCCTTCAGTATACCTCAAAATGAATAGTTATCAGGTTGACTTTCATAGGCCACTAACTTGTGGTTAAAACTTTGAAAGATTTGTGCTAACAAGATATATTTCTCCAACTAATTTCAATCTTTTCTCCAAGTTGTGCATATAGATTAGTTTCATCATGGTCTGTGGTTTGTAGTCATTTTGTCCCTTATTTCCTCTTGAAGGATGATTGACAGTAACTTTTCTTCCTAAACTTGATGTGATTGGGGATGACTTATGGTGGTAACATTTTGGAGGTGAAGGATGGTCAATGTGTTTCTTGTGTGTGTGTTAATTTTCTACCTTATCAATTGAAATGGTTACAAATTTCTGTTTGATTCAGGACAGCTTCTTCAAGGCATATTTCCTTTCAGAAGGAGTGATAGTTTTTAATGAGAAAGCCTGCAGTAACAAGGATGAGCTGGGCGTACAGTGTAAAGAAAAAATAGTTATATTTTCAGACAAATGAATTACTCAGTAGGTTATTTTGTCTTACCTGACATTGTTCCCTTTTTTCTTATTTTCCAGATAAATGTAAATGAAATTACAAGATTTTCAGATTTCCCCTTGTCTAAGAAAACATTGAAAGGTAGGTATATTGTGCTCTTGGGACATGTTATTGGATTTCTTGGTGTTTTTGATAAATGGAAGAAGATTTAGAGAATTTAACCTAAAAAATCCTATTTTTGGCAAATTTTGATATCATGAAAACCAGTGAAAATAAGCAATATTCAAGTCTTAACAATCTGTCTTTCTCATTTTTTCTGGACTGGTTAAAGGACATTAATTTAAAAAAAAGCAGGCCGAGCACAGTGGCTTATGCTTGTTATCCTGGCGCTTTGGAAGGCCAAGGCAGGAGGATTGATTAAGCCTGGGAGTCTGAGACTTGCCTGGGCAACATAACAAGACCTCATCTCTGCAAAAAATAAAACAGTTAACTGGGCTTGGTGGTACATGCCTGTAGTCCCAGCTCCTTGGGAGGCTGAAGCAGAAGGATCACCTGAGCCCAAGAGGTGGAGGCTGTGGTAACCTGTGATCATGCCACTGCACTCCAGCCTTGGTGACAGAGTGAGACTCTGATCCCCCCCTCCAAAAAAAACAACATTCCTAGAGATTCTGAATAATTAAAATGAAATCTAGTTGTGTTAGTTAAAGTAAGCAGGGGAACAAACAAAAACATGATACCCTTTCTGTTAGTTTGCTAGGACTGCCATAACAAAATATCAGACTGGGTAGCTTCGACAACAGAGTACTCTGTCACCGTTCTGGGGGCTGAAAGTCGAGAACAGGTGATGGCAGGGTTGGTTTCCTTTTAGGGCCATAAGGGAGGGATCTGTTTCTCTGTCCTTGGCTTGCAGATGGATGTTCTCTTGCTGATTTTTTTTTTTTTTTGATAAATAAAAACTGGATATATTTATGGTGTGTGACACGATACTTTGAAATATGTATATGCTGTGCAGTGGCTAAATCAAGCGAATTAGCATATGATTACTTTATGTTTTTTGTGTGGTAAGAGCATTGAAAATTAGCAATTTTCAAGTTTATGGTATATCTTGTAACTAACCATAGTCACTAGGACATACAGTAGATCTCTTGAACTCATTCATTCTAACTGAAATTTTGTGTCCTTTGACCAACATCTTCCCAATCCTTCCCTTGCCCACACAGTGTCTATACTTCCTTTCTATGGGTTTGACTTTTTTAGATTCCACACAGAAGTGCGATCATGTGGTGCTTGTGTTGATGTGCCTGGCTTATTTTGCTTAACCTAATGTTTCCTCCACGTTCACGCATGTTGTCACAAATGACAGGATTTCCTTTTTAGAGACTGAGTCGTATTCCATTGTGCATATGTATCACGTTTTCATCATTCATTAATGGCCACTTAGGTGGATTCCATATCCTGGCTGTTGTGAATTGTGCTGCAGTGAACGTGGGAGTGCAGATAGCTCCCAAAGGATATAAAATCCATACTGATTTTATACCCTTTGGATGTCTCCCCAGGAGTGGGGGGTGCTGGATCATATAGTAACTTGCTGCCCCTTTACGTGGCTGTTCCCCTGTGCATGTGCACCCTTGGTGTCCCTTTGTCGAAGTTCCTTCTTTTTTTTCCCTTCTGTTTTATATATTCAGAAAATGATATGAAGGTTCTTATAAAGACACCGGCCATGTTGGATTAGAGTCCACCCTAAGGGACTGTAACTTAAACACTGCTTTAAAGGTTCCATCTCCAAATATAGCCACTTTCTGAGGTACTTGGGGTTAGGGCTTCAACCTAGGAATTTTAGAGGTACACAGCTCAGCCCTTAACACCATCCCACAGGGATTGTCTTTTTTTTTCAAGACAGGATTTCACTTTGTTGTACAGGCTGGAGTATAGCGGCATGATGACAGCTCACTGCAGTCTTAAACTTCTAGGCTCAAGCCGTCTTCCTGCCTCAGCTTCCTGAGTAGTTGGGACTACAGGCATGCACCACCATGCCCTTCTGATTTTTCTATTTTTTGTAGAGATGGGGTTTTGCTATGTTGCCCAGGCTTGAGTCGAACTCCTGACCTCCCGCCTAGGCCTTCCAAAGTGCTGGAATTACTGGGTGAGCCACCACATCTGGTAGGGATTTTCTAAGGTATCATTCTTCTTTCTACATGCCAGGTTTGCAAGAAGCTCAGTACCGTATGGTAACTGAAATACAGAGGCAGACTGTCGGGTTGGCTTTGCAAGGTAAAGATGTACTTGGAGCTGCCAAAACAGGCTCCGGCAAGACTTTGGCCTTCCTTGTTCCAGTAAGTCCATTTTTCATGTTGGTTCAGATTCTCCATCATTTTTATAACATGCTGTGCCTAGATGCAAATAATTATAGAAAGAGTTGTTTTCATGCTAGATTTCCCTGGCTAGAGTGCAGGCGTCGTCAGACGGGAGCCACATTTGTTTTGCACTCTACCACATTCCCTGAGCCCTAGCACAGTGCCTTGCATGTGGCGGGTACTCAGTAATGAATGATGAATGAATTCTTGTGCCTTGACAAGTCATTACATCCTTGATGGATGCTGGGTGCTCCACTGTGGCAGATAGAACAGTTCTGCTCTGCAGAAAGACTGGTGGAGGTAGCTGTTCCTGCTCTCACCCTTGTGAGCCTACCAGTGGCTTTTATACTTGGCACCCGTTTAGGATAAAGCTGAAATATGCTCAGTTTAGGGAGCTTTGGGGATTGTTGAGAGATTTCTGGGACATTAGTATCTGTCTTTTACAGCAGTAAAACAACAGAACTTCTTCAGAATTTGCTTATATCTTGGTTATGCAGTTGGTCTCCTATTTTTTTTATTCCTATAAAATAATTGGCCTAGAAAAATTTCATATTAGTCTTTGTTTCAAATACTGCAAAACCTCTTTTTAAAAAAATCCTTGTGCTTTTTCTTTCTTTTTTTAAGCAATGTCTCTTTACAACTAGAGAATGCAGTCAGTATTAACTACAGGAGCTACACACAAGCAAGTTTATTTTAATGTAGTTATTCAGAAAATATTTTTCTTAAGTCTGTTTTAATGGTCTGTAGGCTACATATAGCTTCACTGATAGCCAGTGTCTTGATGGCCTGGCTCTGATAGCTTCTGGACTACCATGAGGCCACTTTTCCCTTCTCTGTGAATTGGTGGTTGGATGCTTCTGATGGATGGGAGAAAAAACAAAATCTCTTCTTTAGGATTGGATAAAACTTGAGTGGTATGCCTTCCTTTGATTTGGAGGGGCAAGGTTGGATGTGGGTCAAAAAGCTCACTTCTCTAAGGACTTCCTGAACATGAATCTGCTGTGTTTTTGAGGTGCTGGAAGCCTTGTATCGTCTGCAGTGGACCTCAACAGATGGACTGGGGGTTCTGATAATATCTCCTACAAGAGAACTGGCCTATCAGACCTTTGAGGTTCTCCGAAAAGTCGGAAAGAATCATGACTTTTCAGCTGGTCTCATCATTGGTGGAAAGGTTTGTTCTTTTGTCCTTGTCCTTGCCTCTTTCCTTCTATAAACCTATGTTGGAGTACGTGGCAGTTGACAGGGAAGAGGTGAAGACTTCATTTAAACAGATAGACTTCCTATCAGGGACTCGTAGGGTGGTAGCACCTCCATGTGATCACTGTCATCTAGAGTCTGGTTGTCAATTCTGCATATCCAGAAGTCCATTTTTGTTAGGGTATTTTAATTGATTAGATTCTCTGAGACAGATTTACCTTAATCATCCTGTAAAGCTATTCATTAATATCCATTGGGAAAGATATTTCAGTGTGTAAACATTTTAATAAGATATCTATCCAAGATGCTGAATAAATCAGAACATTACTGTATCAGTAGCAGTGAAGGCAAGGAAAGTAGATTGTTTTGAATGTTTTACTTTAGGTCATGATGAGATCTGCTGTTTAATCTTTGTTCTACCATATAGTACGTATGGAATGCTTGGATCTGCTGGTCCCCACTAAACTCTGAGGAGAAATACTTGACTTCTTGAATTCCTGTGCAAACATGCACAAAAGATGAAAACATAGCTTTGTAAACCTTCATGTTTTCATGTACTTGCCACTAAACTTTAACAATTGACAACATTCTGTGTTTCTTTCCCCTAGCTTCTACTTATAAGAAGTGGTTCTTGTCTCAAGGAGAGAACCTTTAAAATGTAGAGAGCTTGACTCTTTCTTTCATTACACAAAGTGCAGTGAGTGTTGTCAGAATCTCTTTAATGCCCCTGGGTCCTGACTTACTGAGAGTAATTCCAGTTTAAGTCAGTTTTGACAGACCCAACAGGAAATCATGACTTGGAGCATTCATTAATGTTTTTTTCTTGGCCTCAAAATCTTGGGTATGATTAAGAACTCTGAGCTCTTTAGGTCTTCAGTTAAAGACTTTTATTTAGTCCAGAAATGTGCTGCAGAAATAGAAGTTATGTTTATTCCAAGAGTATCTAAACAGCTACATGAAATGCCATGTGCAGATGGTTTTATAGTTTTGTTACACAGGCTGCTCAGAGTGATGTGTCTGTGTAATCAAAAGAAACAACTGTTTTCAGGATCTGAAACACGAAGCTGAGAGGATCAACAACATAAATATACTCGTGTGCACGCCAGGTCGTCTTCTTCAACACATGGATGAAACAGTATCTTTTCATGCTACCAATCTCCAAATGTTAGGTAAGTCATGAATTTCTAATGAAGAAAAGCTAGATATAGGAGAGTGCCCTCATCAATTTTAATGACAGAATTGTTATGTTGGGTAAATGTTACAATTCAAAAACTGAGAAATAACCTGAAACTTCTGACACTTTGGGCTCTAAACCCAGAGAATACTACTAGGCTTTTTTTTTTTAATCAAGAGAAGAATATATGTGCTTTTCTATATGAAATTAGGCACTTTAGTATTAGGCATTGCCAAGATTTTTATCTAAGTAACACCTACTTCCGATAACTTGAAAGGGTCACATTGGCATTTTTTGGTTTATTTTGAGTCGTGCTTGTACTTTGTCACCCAGGCTGGAGTGCAGTGGTACGATCATGGCTACTATAGCCTCAACCTGCTGGGCTCAGGTATTAGGGCGCTCATAGCTGGGACTATAGGCACATGCCACTATGCCTGGCTAATTCTTTTTTTTTTTTTTGATTTATTGTGGAGACAAGGTCTTGTCATGTTGCCCAGGCTGATCTTGAATTCTTGGGCTCAGGAAATTCTCTCGCTTTGGTCTCCCAAAGTGCTGGGATTACAGACATGAGCCACTGCGCCCAGCCATGTTGACATTTTTTTTCTTTTCCTAAAAACAGAGATTTTTATTGCTTTTGGTCCACAGTTGTCATTTCACATTATCTCATAGTGAAGGGTCCCTGGAGGTGGGTCCCCGTGCAGTACTTGGCAGGGGGGTGGCAGGGGAGGGACGGAGTGGTGAAGCCTCAGTTTCCCCATGGGGCCCCCTGGCGAGGATGGGGCTCTTGGCTTGAGAGTCACGTTAAAATTCAGTCACTCATGAGCCTAAAATACTTTTTTTTTTTTTGGAGTCAGGGTCTTGCTCTGTGTGGAGCACAGGTGGTGCAATCATGGCTCGCTGCAGCCTTGACCTCCTGGGCTCAAGCAATCCTCCAGCCTCAGCCTCCCGAGTACTGGGGCTACAGGTGCACACCACCACGCCTGGCTCATTCTTAAATTTTTTGGTAGAGACGGGATCTTGCTATGTTGCCCAGGCTGGTCTCGAACCCCTGGGCTCAGGCAGCCCTCCCACCTTGGCCTCCCAAAGTGCTGGGATTAGAGGCGTGAGCCACAACTCCCAGCCCTAAGACACTTTAGGACCGTGGTCTGCCCTTCTCCAGGGGACCCATGCCCCCCTCCACCATCCCTGCCCCATTCTCCTGAAAAAAAAAGTATTTTTTTCACGAAGACTTCCTGAAACTGCCGTAGGTAGAGAAACCACAAACCGATCCCCCAACAAAAGGTAAGGGAAGGAGAAGAAACCGGAAGCCTTTCGTGGCCGGCCTCCCTCCCTGCCCGGGTCCAGCGCCCACAGCCTACCCAAGCCCCAGCAGGGGGTGGGAGGAACGCCCACTAGATCCGCCCTTCCCTCATCGTCCCCTCCCCGCAGAGGCTCAGTCCTGCAAAGGAACCCAGGTGGGATGGGAAAGCACGCCCCCCAGCCCACAGACCCTGAACAGGTTTTAAAAAAAAAAAGACAAAAGCACAGAAAAATCCTAAAACCCAGCTGGGGCGCTGACATGAGCAGGCAGCCCCCTCCTCAGTAGCCAGCCTCTTCCCGGGAGTCGCGGGGAAACTTGGGGGAGTCCCCCAGGCCGGGGCAGTCGCCGGCTCCCAAGGGGACCCCGTCAGCTACCAGGCCCTGCGGGTGGTACTTGGGGTTGTAAATCTGTCGGCCCAGGCCAAAGACCTGGCTGCTGTGGCTGGCATCCTGTGTGTAGGCCATCTGCAGGGACATGGAGGAGTTGTCACATTTGTCCGTGCCCAGCTTGGTGTCGTAGATGTGCCACCGGGTGCCCGGAGCCGTCATGCCCACCTGGCTGGCACACTTGTTGGTGCCCATTGGCAGGCTGATGGTTGAGTGGTCCATAAGGGGCAGGATGTGGTTCTTGGGGTCGTACAGGTGCTGCCTCGTGCCATAGGCGGTCATGTCCGACTGGCTGGTGCACTTGTTGGTACCCATCTGCAACCCGGTGACGCACTGGCTGGCCTTCATGGTTGTGTCGTTGAAGTTCCGCTCCTGCTTCTCCAAGTACTTGATGCTGATGTCCACGCCACTCTGCAGCCGCTTGGTCTTGGCCTTCCCCGCCAGCGCCAGGAGAAACAGCTGCACCTGTGTCATGTTCCCACTCTCAAACAGGTCATTGGCCTCGAACAGTTCCATGGAGTTCATGCCACAGCTGACCGTGGCCTTGATGAAGTTGGAGAGGTTTTTCCAACTGGTTCCAGTTCTGCATGGACCGGTTGATCTTGGGGGCGGAGCCCGGCTGCAGCTTGTTCATGAGTGTGCACAAGATAATCCCATCCTTCAGACCCTTCTGGAAGTTGGGACTGATGGAGAGGCCAGTGAGTCCCTCGATCCAGCTTTGGAGTTCAGCATCCTTCTGAGGGTCGTATGTGGACAGAAGCTGGTCCTTGACCTCGGCTGCGAGGCCGTACGGGGGCCCCTTGTTGAACTGCGTGGTGCTCATGGCTGGCGGGACCGATGGACGGGATGGACCGACATTGACATTTTTTCATGAACTTTTTCTTTTTTGCTTGGTGATACTACCTAACGTGTATTTTTAAATCAACTTTATTTTTGACTTACAGAAAAGTTGCAGTGATTAGTTCTTGTATATCCTTCACCTGGTTTCCCCTAGTGTTAATGCCTTATATGACTATGATACCTTTATCAAAACTGAGATGAACATTGGTGTGTTATATAAATTCCATACTTTATTCAGATTTTACCAGTTTTTGCACTGTTGTCGTTTTTCTGTTTTAGGATCCAATCCAGGATACCACACTGAATTTAGCCTAATGTGTATTTTAAATATTATAGTTCAACTTACTTTTTCCTTTTTTTAGTTCTTGATGAAGCAGATAGAATCTTGGATATGGGCTTTGCTGATACCATGAATGCTATTATTGAGAATCTTCCCAAGAAACGTCAGACTTTGCTTTTCTCGGCAACACAAACCAAATCTGTGAAGGACCTTGCACGCTTGAGTTTGAAAAACCCTGAGTATGTCTGGGTTCATGAAAAAGCAAAATATAGGTATGTACTCTTTGATTCAATCAAAATCAATATCCTTTTTTTTAGTTTAAGGATTTGATGTTTTATTTTTATTTATTTATTTATTTATTTTATTTTATTTTTTTGAGTTGGAGTCTCACTCTGTCGCCCAGACTGGAGGGCAGTGGCCGCTCCCGGCCACCTCAGCTGGGCTCCGGCGATCCTTCCACCTCAGCCTTCCAAGTAGCTGGAACTACAGGCGTGCGCTACCACGCCCGGCTAATTTTGATTTATTGTAGAGATGAGGTCTTGCCAAGTTGCCCAGGTGGGTCTCGAACCCGTGGGCTCAGGCAATCCATTCACCTCAGCCTTCTAAAGGCTCAGGATTACAGGCTGAGCCACCGAGCCCGGCTAGGATTTGATATTTTAAATATATGTTTTCTGGGATATAAGACATTGTATGTGTTGTTAGATGTACAAAGCATAGTAAATATATTAGTTAAAATTACTCAAATTCTGCATATATCCTTAAATGTTAGAATACTCTAATATAGCATTCTCCAAAATGTGATCTGAGGAAGAAACATTTTTCCTTATGATTTTCTTATGATTTCCTTAGCATTTTATTGTTCACATATTGTTATATATATTTGTATGAATCACTGCAGACTTTCAGGAGAAATGTTTTCCAGTGAATATAAGTAAGATTCTATGCTGAAGATATCAATATGGTTTTAACTCTACTATTATTTATATCTTAAAACTTTCATTTCTTCTTGCTATGAAATATTAGTGTAAAAAGAAGAAGATTTGGGAGCTAAATTGTGTTATCCAGATGAAAAACCCTAAAATACAGAAAATATGGGTATTCAGGCCCACCTTGACCTCTTTTAATAAATGTCTAGTATTAAAAAGTCCAAGGACAGAGACTAGACTCTATGCTTCTAGGTGAACCTAATGGATACACTTTGGAGAATCTGAGTACTGGTAGCTTTGAATCAAGAACTTGGGAATGGAATAGCAAGAGATACTTGAGATCTCGTTTTTTTCTTGGCTTACTATTGTGTAGATATTGGTCTCTTACACTTGTGTTGAGATAGCCATGGACATTTTTGTTAAATTAACTTGAAAAGACGGACTAGGTTTTTTGATTTTTCTTCTTTTTACTGTTTGCTTCCTGCCTATTTTCAAAATTCATCAGACAGATTTTTCAAGCATTAGATGGTCTCTAAGACCTTTCATAATTTATAAGTTAATTGTACATATTATCCTTATCCTTAATTTCTGTAGACAAGAGTTACGTATTATCTGTAGGTCATAAAATTTTAGAAAAAACTGAATGCAAAGACTGATATTTCACAAATGAGTTTTGAAGCTCAGTTTTCCCATCATTTATAAAAAATGTGGCTTTCAGCCGGGCTCGGTGGCTCAGCCTGTAATCCCGCTCTTTGAGAGGCTGAGGTGAGTGGATTGCCTGAGCCCGCGGGTTCGAGATTCGCCTGGGCAGGCGAGACCTCATCTCTACAATAAATCAAAATATTAGCCAGGTATGGTAGCGCGCGCCTATAGTTCCAGCTACTTGGAAGGCTGAGGTGGAAGGATGCCGGAGCCCAGCAGGTCGAGGCTGCGGTGGCCGGGAGCCACTCCAGTCTGGGCGACAGAGTGAGGTGCCAACTCAAAAAAAAAAAAAAAAAAAAAAGTGACTTTCAAAGGATTGATAGTAGCAGGAAACTGTGGGGAGGGGGGTGGAAGGGCGAGGAGGTAGGATCGACAGTAGTGGATATCTGCCTGGGGAAGTGGGGGGGGACACACCTCATTAACAAGTGTACCTGCACAATGAATATTTGTATACCTAACCTTTAATTTTAAAATCACGAAATGTAAAAGTTAAAAAAAATGTGGCTTTCAGAAAAAGTTTTAGAAGGCAGACATATAGTGACCTGTTTATAAAGTTGCAAATTATGTGATAATGGCTGCAGTCCTCTTTAATTCTAAATTCACAGGAAACATTATAAAAAAGCAGATGCTGTTAGGAATTTTGTCTAATGTCAATATTGACTTTCCCCTTTAGTAACTTATCAGTGTGGTTAATATACCATGAGAGACTATAAATCAAGAATATTTTAAAGTATTACGGGGTATCTATTCTGAAATTGTGAAGGGCCCCCAAACTAAAGAGAAATGATATCTTTCTGAAGTCAGAGTATACTTAGAAAAGTATACCAGTGTTTTCTTTATATTGCTATATGTAGGCAACTGGTGCCTCTAATGAATTTTTTTTTCTTTTTGAGTCACGATCTTTCTCTGTTGCTTAGACTGGAAGGGAGTAGCACAGTACAGCTCACTGCAGCCTTGACTTCTTGGACTCAGGCAATCCTCCCACCATAGCCTCCCAAATAGCTGGAACTACAGGCACACATCACTGTGCCCAGCTAATTTTTCAATTTCTTTGTAGAGACTAGGTCTTGCTGAGTTGCCCAGACTTGTCTTGAACTCTTGAAATCAAGTGATCTTCCTGCCTCTGCCTGGCAAAGTGCTGGGATTATAGGCGCGTGCCACCATACCCAGCCTAATGATTTTATTTTTGAGAGAATATTCCTTTAATTACTATGCCTTTGGGCCATAGTGATTTATGTGGTGAATTATAAAAAATTTCAAATTTGAAATATATTATGAGCTCATTTTATTAGGTGCAAACAAGTTTAGTATTACATCTGCTGTTAATTTGAAACATAATCTTTATAAAATATTTCTTTTTATCTTTACTTTTTGCCTTTAAGTCTTGTCAGAGATTAGTCTACCTGTTGCTCGTTTCTTTTGGTTAGTGTTTACATGGTGAACCTTTTCTCATCCGTTGACTTCCTACATTGTTTATGTCCTATGATTTCAGATTTGTCTTTGTGAGTAGCATATTTTTAAAATTTGCGATAATTGCTTTTAACATTTAATCGACCTAGTTATTATCTAGGTCCCTTTACTGATTTCTGCTATTGTGCCTTCATTGTCAAGTATTTTAATTCCACATAAATTTTAAGCCCCAAAGCCATTATTATTACTCTTTGAATCACTGATATTTATTGACATTTACTCAAATATTATTCTTCTTGCATTGTCATGCTTCTATCTGATATGTTTTCTTTTGCTCAAGTAATTTTTTTTTTTAGTATATGTCTGTTGGTGAAACAATCCTTTTTGACTTATCTAAAAACCTCTTTATTTCATCTTTAAAGGCTATGGCAGTTTTTTTTTCTTCAAAATATCTTTCTATTATACTCTAGGTTTTATTATTTCTGTTAAAGTTATCTGGCAGTTCTCTTTTTCTTTTGAGGATAATTTTTTTTTCTGGCAGGCACATGTGATAATGTCAGGTTACCCTGATCTGGTCTAGCCTGGCAATTAGACTTTGTGTCTATTTTGTTTCCAGTTTTTCCCTAGACTTGAGGTATAGTCCTGACACATAGGGCCTAGCCCTTCTCAGGGTCTCAGTCCAGGGTGTCTACCAGAGCCCCTCTACCATGACAGGCTCTGAACCTCATAGCATTGTAAGACTGCTGGAGTCTCTGCTTAGTTCTGTACCTTCTGGGTTGTTGCTTTTTGTTGTTTTCCCCCATTTTGCCTTGCTTGTGCTCAGTTTAGGAATTGGCTTACTCCTCAAGGGTAAATTGTATGAAAAATTTTAGAGTCAGTTTTCCTTCTGTCTAGGGTCTGGGACTGATGTGTTTAAGCCTCATTAAGGCTACTACTTTGTCTCTTCTGCCTTGTAATCAGCAACTGCTCTGGGGTAAAGTGAGGTGAATATAGGGTTTGGCTGTGGGCATTTCCATTTTCTTCTTTAGCACCTCAAGTCCTAGCTGCCCCTTTTTTGTTTTGTGTTTATTCCAACTTTTACAGCTGACGTTGCAGTTCACAGAGTTAATCTGGCAGGAACCACTACCTTTTTAGCCTTAGAATTTTAGCAGCCCATGGAAGCTGTTGCCTAGCTCATTCTTTCCTTGGGGATTGCAAAGTTGTGATATTTACATTCTCTCATTTCTTCATTAGCTTGAATTCTTTTTATATCAAACAGCTTTCATATGAACTGTGTAACTATCTGAGGTACAGTTCTTACCTGAAAGCCAGAATTTGACTTTATGCTCCTTATTAGCTTTAAAACTAATGAGTTGGTTCCCTAGTATTTTCCAAAGCTGAGCAGTGTGTGTTTTTGTTTTGGTGATGTAAATGAACTTAGATTTAGTGATAGCTAAATTTAATGATGATTAAAGATGAATTAATGATATTTAACTCATTTTAAAAATGTCCTTGAGTCAATAGGAATAATTATATTTAATACTTGTCTCATATCATCCAAGACGCTCATAGGAGATACTTCAAGTTTTGGATCCTTGACACATCTCAGTATTCTTTGATGGATGCCTTGCTTTCTGGTGCTCTAGGTTTATCTTACACATTTCCAGTTCCCATAAAATCCTTCTAGCAGGATGTGGTATTTGAAGACCGTAGTCTAGGTGCTAGTGGGGATGGTCATTTTGTTAGACTTTTCAGTGGACAGACCCTTTTTAAAGAGTTCATGCAATATTTACAAATCAAATTTAGGCTTACAGGCTTTTTACACAGCCTCATTAAAAAAATATGTATCTTTTTTCTCTTATGCCAAACATCTTCATTCCCAAAGATTTTTTTTTTGTTCCATCTGTCAGTCAGTATATCTAAAATAGTTTCAGGATAGTACCAGTATTACTGTTGATGGTGATTACTTTTATAAGTAATGATTCCGTTGCAGTTCTTTTTTTCCTAAGCTAGTTTAGTAAAGATGCAACAATCACATATCTTTGAGATAATTGCTTTGTCATTAGGTCATCGATGTGATACATATTTGGACTCATTTGTTTTGTTATTTTGTAAAATTTTGATTCATTTTTTCCCATAACCCCTCTATAGCTATGACCTATTTATTTTTTGAAGTCTTTATTATTATTTTTTTTAGAGCAGTTTTAGATTCATACAAAATGGGGAGGAAGGTACAGAGATTTCCCATTTACCTCCGGCCTCCACACATGAACAGCCTCCTGTGTTATCAACACCCTTGCTAGAATGGCGCATTTGCTGCAATGGACGAACCTACACTGATGCATCCTTATTGCCCGAAGTTCATAGTTTACGTTAGGGTTCACTCTTATGATGTGCATCCCCATGGGTTTATACATTTATAATAACATGTGTCTACTATGATAGTACCATACGTATGTTCACTGTTCCAAAAGTTCTCTGCCCTATTCATCCATTTATCTCCTTAAATTATCCTGGCAGTCACTGATCTTTTTACTGTCTCCATAGTTTTATCTTTCCAGAATGTCACACAGTTGGAATCATACAATGTGTAACCTTTTCAGATTAGCTTCTTAGTAATATGCATGTAAGGTTTCTCCATATGCATTTAAGGTTTTCATGGTGTGATAGCTCATTTCTTTTTAGCACTGAATAATATTCCATTTTCTGGATGTACCCCGGTTTTTCCATTCAGCCACTGAAGGACATCTTGGTTGCTTTCAAGTTTTGGCAATTATGAGTAAAGCTGCTATAAACATCCTTGTGTATGTTTTTGTGTGGACGTAACATTCTCAACTCCTTTGGGTAAATACCAAGGAGCAAGATTGCTGGGCCAGATGATGAGGGTGTGTTTGGTTTTGTAAGAAATGGCCAAACAGTCTTCCAGGTTGGCTGTACCATTTTGCGTTCCTGCCAGCAGTGAGTGAGAGTTCCTGTTGTTCCACATTCTCGTCAGCCTTCGGTGTTGTCACTATTCTGGATTTTGGCCATTCTAATAAGTGCGTAGTGGCATCTCATTGTTTTAATTTACATTTCCCTGATGATGTGCAGAACGTCTTTTCATTTGCTTATTTGCCATCTATGTTTCCTCTTTGGGGAGGTGTCAAGATCTTTGGTCCCCTCCCCTTTAAAAAATTGGGATGTATCTATTTGAGGTTTGAACGTTCTTTGTATATTTTGGAGAAAAATCCTTTATCATATGTCTTTTGAAAACATTTTTTTTCTCATTCCATAGTTTGTTTTCTCATTCTCTTGACAGGGTCTTTGACAGATCAAGAATTTTTAATTGTAATGAAACCCAGCTTATCAATTCTTTTGCTTATGGGTCATGACTTCATATCTAAAATCAGTTGACTCCTAGTTTTTTATTTTTCTGCCTGTCCCTCTTTCTTTTCCTTTCAATATAAACAGACACACATGAATGGGCATGTGTATGCATATATAATGTTTACCCCAACCCTAACGAGTGGTACCAAATTATATGTACTATTCTGCTACTTGTCTCTTTGCTTAACATATCCTGAAGATCACACCATAGCATTATATGGATATATTCATTTCTTCTTTAGAGTTGCGTGATACTTAATTTATGTGGAAATGTAATCATTCCTCACATTCCCTACTGATGCACACTTGGGTTGATTTTCATTGTTTTTTTGCTTTAGAAATAATGACATATATTCTTATGTTTTATTCTAGTGTTAGAATAGAATCCTAAAAGTAGGTTTATTAGTTCAAAGAGTAAATGCATGTATATTTCTCTCCAACATTTTAAATGACATTTCAAGCATTCAAGAAATAGAGACTTTTACAATAAACACCTAATAGCCGCCACATAGATGCTACTTAATGGCAGCATCCATTTACTTGCCTTTGTCCATCCTTCTCACTGTGTATTAACCCATCTAATTTTTGATGCATTTCCAGAGTAAATTGCAAACATCTGTACTTCCCCCCAAGTACTTCAGCCATGTTTCACTAATGAGAGTTTAATATTTGTACAGATTTTTTGGGTACAAAATTTCTATGCAGTGAAATTACATTTGAATTTTGATGAATGTGCATATATCTGTAACCTAAAGCCCTAATAAGATGTAGAACACTGCCATCAGCCCAGCAAGTTCTCTCATGCCCTTAGTTGACCCTGCATTTTTAGGTAATCACTGTTTATGTGGTAGCTTTTTTGGCATATAATCTGTAAGGAGTTTTGAATGTATTTCTTCTTTTTTTGAGTTGGAGTCGCACTCTGTCACCCAGACTGGAGTGCAATGGCTGCTTCCGGCCACTGCAGCCTCGACCTACTGGGCTCCGGCAATCCTTCCGCCTCAGCCTTCCGAGTAGCTGGAACTACAGGCGCGTGCTACCACACCTGGCTGATTTTTGATTTATTGTAGAGATGAGGTCTCGCCAAGTTGCCCAGGTGGGTCTTGAACCCTGGGCTCAGGCAATCCACTCACCTCAGCCTCCCAAAGCGCTAGGATTACAGGCTGAGCCACCGAGCCTGGCTATTTTGAATGTATTTTAAAGTCATGTGTTGAATTCATTTCCTGAGAGACAATAGAGAAAGTGGGTTTTTTTATTTTTAAATTTTGATGTATGTGTGTAGGAAATTTGTTTGAAAGATGTGTCACTATTAAAACTTGTTTCCTTTTTTGGTCTGGATTTCAAAGTTGCAAACATGATGTATTTTTTTTAATGTTTCTCTCCCCTTAATTCCACAAGCACCCCTGCCACTTTGGAACAGAACTACATAGTTTGTGAGCTGCCGCAAAAAATAAGTGTGTTGTTTTCTTTTCTGAGAAGCCATCTGAAGAAGAAGAGTATTGTATTTTTCTCCTGTTGCAAAGAGGTATTAGCCGTTTATTCTTCTTTCTGAAATTATCATGTTGAATCGTCTTTTTTGAAATAGCAAATTCCAGTTAGACAAATAATTATATTGTAAGAGAAATACAGTGTAGGAGTGATGAGGGATCTGTAGTGTGTTGTAAAGGAGACTGTGGCCGAGACATTAAACTCTGCAAGGGCAGAAACTATGTCTTTTATTTGGTATTGTGCTAAGTGCTAACAATGCTAGAAAAATAGTGGCCTTCAAAAAATATTGGTAGAATGAATACTTGTTAGCTAGGCTAAGGGAGGTCTTTGTAATCTGACATCTCTCCTCCCCTTTATGAATATGGAACAGAATATGCCATTTCTTTCATGCCTCATGTCTTTATTCATGCTAATCTGTCTAGAATTCTCTCTTTGCTTACCCTTACCTTAGTTCTGGGAAGACACTAGAGTTCATTAAGGCAAAGCTCAAATGTTACACCCAAAAGTCCCTTTCTAAAGATTCAATTGCTCCTCCCTATCCTGCTGCAATATTTTGCTTATATCTTCATTTAGTTAATAAACACATAATGAACACTAGCCCTGTGCTAGGAATGAGGAATTCAGAGATGTATGAGAACTTGGTCTCCTCTCTGAAGGGAAAGGGGCCGTGGTCTTTGTGTGTGTGCACACTACTTCTCTTCTAGTATATTTCAGATTCCTAATGACATATAGGACATATTATAGATCAGTTCTAGGTTTATAGTTTTTGCAATAATGCACAGGTGGGTTTCTCTCCAGTTTGTGGGAAGGTAAATGGTGGTCTTCCTCTGTTTTCTGCTGAGCCCTGTCATTTTACTGTGCGAAGAATGACTTCAGATTTTTAGGATCTGGTTAGATTTTAGAAACTTTATATCTCCTAAAGAAGAGTTGGTTTTGGTATCTAGATACTAGGAAACAGTTTTGAGAGTCATGTTTCTACTCTGTGCTCCTTTGCTTTTCCTTTTGTCATGGTAGATGAAGTTCTTGCTTGCTGTGACCAACCCTTCTTGTGTGTTCCAGACTCTGTCTTCTCATTTGTACGAGGCCTATGCCTCGGCAAAATATTCCCTTTCTCTCTTAGATTTTCTTTTCTCCCTACCCATTCATAAATATTGCCCATATTAAGAATGAGAAACAAATCCCTTGTCCTTTTCTACTCATTGCCCACTGCAACCTTGAACTCCCGGGCTCAAGTGATCTTTCTGCCTCAGCCTCCTGAGTAGCTGGGGCTACAGGCACATGCCACCATGCCTGCCTAATTAGCAAATTTTTTTTTTTAGAAAAGGTGTCTTGCTATGTTGCCCAGGCTGGTCTTGAACTCCTGGCCAAAAGCAATCCTCCTGCTGCAGTGTCCTAAGGTGCTAGGATTCTAGGCTTTTTCTGCTCTTCTTTACAGCAAACTCTTCTAAAGACATATCTCTGCTAAATGAATCACCTTTTCATCTCCTGTTCTCCCCTTAACCCTCTGCTGAATCAGTCCTTTTTAAGAGAAACAGCTTTCTAGAGTCAGTGCTCAGTTATCAGTCTTTATCTCATTTGACCTCCCAAAAGCAGTTGACACAGCTGACTATTCTCTCCCTCTTCAGACACTTGAGACTCTTATGACTCTACGCTATCAGCCTCCCTGCCTCCTTCTGACTATTCTATTTTAACTCCACTGTGCTGGTTCTCTTCTGCTTGACCACTGCAATTTGGAATCCTTCATACCACTCTACTCTGCCCCTTTTCCATATGTGTTCTCTTTCTGAGTAACCTCATTCATTTCATGGCTTTATATTTATCTGTATGCTAACAACTACCAGATCCACATCTCAATTCCTGACTTCTTTCCTGAGCTGCAGACCCATGTATCCACTTGACTACTGCATATTTCCAGTTATATGTCTAGAAGGCATTTCAGATTGGACACAGAGTTCTTATCCCTAGATTTACTTCTTTCAACTTCCCCTTCTCAGTAAATGACTGAATTTTTGTTGTTGTTGAGTTGGAGTCTCACTCTGTCACCCAGACTGGAGTGCAGTGATTGCTCCCGGCCACCGTGGCCTCGACCTGCTGGGCTCCGGCGATCCTTCCGCCTCAGCCTTCCAAGTAGCTGGAACTACAGGTGCATGCTACCATGCCTGGCTAATTTTTTGATTTATTGTAGAGATGAGGTCTCGCCAAGTTGCCCAGGCAGGTCTTGAACCCACGGGCTCAGGCAGTCCACTCATCTCAGCCTCCCAAAGCGCTGGGATTACAGGCTGAGCCACCAAGCCCGGCTATGACTGGATAAAGTCCTGTTTGTCTTTATCCCACAGTCAATCTGTTGATAACACATGGCCATCACCTCTCACCACCTGCTATGCTGCAGTGCAGAGTGAACTGTGCTTAATTTTCCCTCAGCCTCCTAATTGCCTTCTCCATTCCCTCACCTCCTTTCCTGTGGTTCTTCCACATTATAGTCAGAGTGATCTTTGGAAGGTAGAAACTGGAATATGTCACTGCCTTGCTTAAAACCCTCCACTGACTTTTTCTCCTACTTGGAATTAAATTAAGCTCCAGACTTAGAACCTGCATGCCTTTGTTCCCTATGCACCTTCTACCTCAGCTAGTTTGTTAGAGAGTGGGAAGTCAAGATCAGTCTTGATCAAGAGATGCAGACTGCAGAAAGTGTTTATGAACTCAGTGTGCACTTCCTGAATTTCCATATGTCCTTTTCCTGAGTCTGCTGTGCCTGAGAGTGCATTTGTGGTCTCTGGATTTTCCTTTCCCATCTCACCTTTCATAGTTGTCCTTTCTCCATCTTTACAAAAGCAAAGCATGAGTGCATTTATTACTCATCTTAGTGGTACATTGTCCCAGAATCAGAACCTCCCTGGCCCTAGAATATTGCTGTTGAGAAAGTGAATGACTAATGAATGACTGGGTAACAAGTCATTTTGCAATTTACTTGGTTTTCCATTCTTTCAGCAAAATCGGAGACAGACCTTAATGGAGTTATTAGCCAATAGAGCACCAAAAAATATAATATTCTATCATGATTTTGCCATATTTTGCAGGAGCTCAAAGAGTTAAGCGTCTTTGAGTCCATTTTTCTATATTTATGTGAACAGATTTTTTTAACACCTGTGATAAAATAAAATGATGCTGAATTCTGCTTCAGTCTAGCCATCCATAGTATCCATTTATGAGTATATAAAATAAAGAGAACTAAAATAGTCAGTTACATTTAGTCCTATCACTGAGATATATTTACAATAATTTTATGCCTAACAGTTATTTGTCAAATCCTAACAATTCTTATTTTGGCCAGTTCTGTTCTACATATTGTAATAATTGCTCACTCTGAGAAGAATGCTAAGTCAATCTCATGGCCACAGAAAATTAAAACTAATCAGTTTTAATTTATGTAGGAAATGGTGAGTTATGATAACATGATCGATAAAAGACTGAGTTTTAGACTTAAGATGCAAGTCTGTGGGGTTTGGAAATAGAAATGTGAATTAAAGGAGGAAAGGAAACTTTCTGTTGAAGAGATTCTTCTTATTTTTTATTTGGTAGATGGTAGGTCTCAAATTCCTCTGCTCTTTAGAATCCATTGGCTATGTTGATAAGATGTAAGTTTTTATTTAAAAAAATCAACATTTCTTAGAAATTACATCCTTTGCAACTCTTCAGATTTGGAAAGATTTCAGATGTCAACACAAATGGAAGATTATTTTTTAAAAAGTTGGTAAATATGTGAGCAAAAATGTTTGAAGACCACAACTCTAGATATATTTCCCTTTTTCTGCTCCATATTTAACATTTTGTTTAATTGGTAAAATTTGTGCTCCTTAATGCATGTTTTGCTATTCATCTTCTAAAGCTTTACTGCTGCCATCCAGAGGTACCAACACGTTCTTCTCTTGATGCCCAGGTTCAGTATCTGTATCGAGTGTTCTGCCGTCTCCGTCCCGGTATTTCTATCCTTGCCTTACATGGTCGCCAGCAACAGATGAGAAGAATGGAAGTCTATAATGAGTTTGTCCGTAAGAGAGCTGCAGTCCTCTTTGCTACTGATATTGCAGCCAGGGGGCTGGGTAAGAAAGCTTCCTATCATAAATTTTCTGTGATCATGGGAAACACAATTTGCTTGTAAAGTATATTTTCAGATATATAATAAAGTCAGCCAGGTGTGGTGGCTCTCGCCTCTGATCCCAGAACTTTGGGAGATGGAGGTGAGAGGATTGCCTAGCCCAGGGGATTGAGACCAGGCCGGGCAACTTGGCGACACCTCGTCTCAACAATAAATAAAAAAATAAGCCGGGTGTGGTGGTGCATGCCTGGGGGTCCAGCTACTTGGAAAGCTGAGGCGGAAGGGTCGCCTGAGCCTAGCAAGCAGGTTGAGGCTGCAGTAACCGTGAGCTGTGCTACTGCACTCTAGTCTGGGTGACAGAGTGAGACTCCGACTCAAAACAAAAAACAAAAGTTCTTCAAATAATTGGGCTTTCTTTTCTTATTTTGTAAGAGAGAACTAAGTAAATAGGCAGCAGTTGATTAACATTAAGGATGTGTCAGTGAAAATTTCTGTAATAGTTGCATCTTTTGTGCTCTTACTATTGTTTCATGATAATTATGCCACAGAATCTTGAGGAACCTGCAAAATCAGAAGAGGATGAACAGTTTAACAATATGAAAACAGTTCCTGTTTCTTTGTAAATTGGAAACTGTTTATGTTAATGTTGAACTCATTCAACAAGAAAAATCAGTGAGATCTGTCTTTTTACCAACCATTCACATTTTTATCTTAAAATCACTACACATTAATGTATTTAAATTTATTTTCAAAATGCCATTGTTGATAGAGAACTTGTGGCTTTGTGGGAGTGGGATGAGAATGGAAGTAATTAGAGAGGAAAACAAGTTTAGAGATGGGAACAAAGGATGAGAATAAATAGGTCGTAATTTGAATCCTTCAATCACTTTATCTTATCGTATTTGTTAATACGGCAAATTTTTAAACAACCACACAAAGAGCCTAAGTTTAATCTACCCTCATATATACATTATGCAACTCATGACCCTCCTTCTGTCCCTCTTGGAGTACCCTAAAGCGTATCTTGGACGTCCTATCAGTTTGTCCACATGTGACTGGGGAACTAACCAAGTATGCATCTTTCAGTGTTCTGGGCTGTTTTCTCAGGCCCACAACAGTTCATCCTCTACCTCCACCGTCACTGAGTAGATAGTTTCAAAACATTCTGACTGTGCTTGTATCTATTTATATTTCACTGTGACTTTTGAACCTGAGCTAGGACAGGTCACAAAAGCTAATTTTGAGCTTAAGTTTACTCCTTTCAAGTGTCAGGTTCCCTTTTTAAAATTATAAGATAATTTAAAAAAAAATCACACATATATACCATCTACTCACAATGAACAGATGTTAACATTTTATCATTTTTTCCTTGGATTTTTGTTAAATATTAATCGATGTCATCCTTTTACTCTCCTCTCTTCTTTCCAGACACATTTGATGTGTAACCTTTTATTTATTTTATTTTATTTTTTTTTGAGTTGGAGTCTCACTCTGTCGCCCAGACTGGAGTGCAGTGGCCGCTCCCGGCCACTGCAGCCTCCACTTGCCGGGCTCCGGCAATCCTTCCACCTCAGCCTTCCAGGTAGCTGGAATTACAGGCGCGCGCTACCATGCCCAGCTAATTGTTTTTGATTTATTGTAGAGATGAGATCTTGCCAGGTTGCCCAGGCGGGTCTCGAACCGGCGGGCTCAGGCAGTCCGCTCACCTCAGCCTCCCAAAGTGCTGGGATTACAGGCTGAGCCACCAAGCCTGGCTGATGTGTAGCCTTTTAGTTGACGGTTCTTCACTTCTAATCCAGAGTCTGTGATAGAATTCAGCAGGTCTGTGAGCTTGGATGGGGAAAAATATATATATTTTCACTAGCCTTTAACTGAAGTTTAGCATTATGGATGTAAGCAACAAATTATTATAGTTCTAGTGGTACTTTTGACTTAGTTGCCAGTTGAAATCATTTTATATTAGTTAGTACAGATACCTTGGAATATTGTTTACACTTAGTAGTTTTCTGATATGGTAGTGATTATTAGGCCCACAACTAGATTATGTTTTTTAATGTGGTAGTAAATAAGCATATACATTACTATATCAAATCTAATACACATATTAATGTTTATATATCATTTTCCCCCCTATAATCCTAAATATTTACTTCATGCATTTAAAGCATCTGAGAGGGCGTTCATAGGCTTCATCTATGGCACAAAAACTGTCCAGAACCCCTGTCCAGTTTATTCTTAAAAAGCAATCTATAGCCGGGCTCGGTGGCTCAGCCTGTAATCCCGTGCCTTTGGGAGGCTGAGGTGAGTGGATTGCCTGAGCCTGCGGGTTCGAGACCCGCCTGGGCAGCGAGACCTCATCTCTACAATAAATCAAAAAATCAGCTGGGCGTGGTAGCGCATGCCTGTAATTCCAGCTACTTGGAAGGCTGAGGCGGAAGGATCGCTGGAGCCCAGCGGGCGAGGCTGCGGTGGCCGGGAGCGGCCACTGCACTCCAGTCTGGGCGACAGGGTGAGACTCCAACTCAACTCAAAAAAAACACCAAAAAACAAAAAACAAAACAAAACAAAAAAGCAATCTATGAATGTATTCACAAGCAATATATAGTATTATCTTGGGTATTTTAGAAGTTCATATAAATAATATCGTTATGCATGCTAGTTTATGATTTGCTTTTGAAGTCTTTCTATGTTGGTGTGTAAAAATCTAATGTGTATAGGTAGAGTGTCCCATTGTATGAATGTGTCCAATTATACATTTATTCTTGTAGTGTCTTTTAAACTCTATTTTATTCTTTTTTCAGTTTTATGTTTGAATAAATAATCTGTGCATATGGAGTAAAAATGAGTTATAATGAAACAACAGGCTCTTCTCTATCTCCCTCACTCCTTAGAGGCAACTGCTTAACACTCTTATTTCTGGAGTTTTGTTCTATATTTCTAAATACTCTAATACGGCTATTTTTTAATGTGTTGAGTTTAGGAATTATTCAAAGACTTTCTTTTATAACGTAACAGTCGTCCTCTTCCCTTTCCCGCCCCCTGCCATCTTTCCTGTATTTGTACATTATGGCTTTTGAAAGTTAAATGAACATTTCATATTTACATTGTTTTGATTATAATTAATTGGTACTGAGGGAAGTAGTGTACTAAGATGGCTACCTGTCTTATACTTCCTTTTGTGTTTTTTTTTTAGTTAATAATTCAGTTAATTGTTGTACAGTCTGCTTAGTTTTGTGTTCCTAGTTCTAAATTCTTAAATGTTCCCGTAGATACCATGTGCCAGTTCTCTGACAGTTCACAGTTCCGTTTCTTTTCCCCCTAGGACCGCTTTTTTGCCGCCTTCTGCCTCCAGCTGTAACCTGGCCTGGTTACTCCTTAAGCCTGATATACTCTTCTCATCCTGGGGCTTTTCTTTCCAGATATGTCTTCCTTTTTTCTTGGCTTCCTTTTTTTCCCCCTCAAAATTTAAATAAAGCCCATTCTCTAATAGCTGCCTAAGAAAGGATTTTGAGTCCCTGCATATTTGATAATGGCCTATTCTTGAATGATAGATAATTGTGTTGGGAATAGAATTCTAGGTTGAAATGTTCTCTTGGAATCTTGCAGATATTTTTCACTGTCTTCCAGTGGTCAGTATTCTGTTGAGATGTTTGCCTTTCTTATTTCTTTTTTGTAACCCCCTTTTCTTTGTCTGGATATTCTTAGGATTTTCTGTTTATCCAGTGTTCTGACATTTTATGATAATAGACCTTAGTGCGAGGTCCTACTTTTCGCACAGGCATTCAATGTTACTTTTTCGCTGTACACCAGTACTGTTCAATAGAATTTTCTATGATTGTTAAAATATTAGAGTCTGCCAGGCGTGGTGGCTCAAATCTGTAATCCCAGCACTTTGGGAGGTTGAGGTGAGAGGTTTGTCTGAGCCCATGGGTTCGAGACCAGCCTGGGCAACATGGCGAGATCTCATCTCTATAATATATCAAAAAATTAGCCGGGCATGGTGACATGTGCCTGTAGTTCTAGCAGCTTGGAAGGCTGAGGCAGAAGGATTGCCTGAGCCCTGCAAGTCGAGGCCGCGGTGGCTGTGAGTGTGCCACTGCACTCCAGCCTGGGCGACAGAGTGAGAATCCAACATAAAAAATTTTATATATAATATATATGTATATTCCAGTCTGCGCTCTCCAGTACTATAGCTAGTAGCCACATGTAGCTGTTGAAATCTTAAAATGTGGTAAATGAAACTGGGGAAAGGGTGAATTTTAAATTTTATATAAATTTTAATTAAACTTGAATAGCTGCCATATTGAGAAGCACAGAATAGAGACTCATATCTCTTGGTTTCAGGAAATTTACCTTTGAGTTGCTTCTTGGTGTTTTGGTTAAATAAATATTCAATATTTACATGATTTGACTATGTAATTAATAGTTTGCTGCGGGGGGAATTAGAATACTTCAATTGTTTCATATACCTTTTTTGGTGACTCTCTTTGAGTAAATAGCTGTCTTGTTATAACATTTTTTCATTTTTTTGTTTACTCTTTCTGTAAGAGTATTTTTGACCTCTTTGATCTTTTTATTTTTTTGTGGTCCTCCCCTCCCCAACCCCGTCACCTGACCTCTTTGCTCTTATAATTTTCCTGTTTATTTTCTCCTATTACCCATCTCTGTCTCTTTCTTTCTTTCTGGAAGATTTCTTTGACTTTATAGTTTAGCTTTTCTGTTAAAAAAAAACAACAATTTTTTTTGAATTGGAGTCTCACTGTGTCTCCCTGGCTGGAGTGCAGTGGCACTCTACTCACAGCCACCGCAGCCTTGACCTGCTGGGCTTAGGAGATCCTTCCACCTCAGCCTTCCAAGTAGCTACAGGCGTGCCACCACGCCCAGCTAAGTTTTTGATTTATTTTAGAGACAAGGTCTTACCAAGTTGCCCAGGCTAGTCTCGAACCCCCGGGCTCAAGCACTCCTCTCGCCTCAGCCTCCCAAAGTGCTGGGATTACAGGTGTGAGCCACTGCTCCTGGCAGACTGTAAAAAATGTTTGACTGTTGGCTGGATGCGGTGGCTTAGCCTGTAATCCCAGCAGCACTTTGGGAGGTTGAGGTGAGAGGATTGCCTGAGCCCGGGTGTTCGAGACCCGGGCAACTTGGTGAGACTTCATCTCTACAATACATCACAAAAACTAGCTGAGCGTGGTGGCATATGTCTTTAGTTCCAGCTACTTGGAAGACTGAGGCGGAAGGATCACCTAAGCTCAGCAGGTCGAGACTGTGGTGGCTGTGAGTGTGCCACTGCACTCCAGCCTGAGCGACAAGAATGAGACTCTAACTCAAAAAAAAAAATTTTCTTTTTTTAACTTTTAAGAGCACCTTCTTTACAGCCTTTTGTTGTTTGATTGATGCAGTGTTTTCTCCCTGAGGACATTGCATTTTTATATTCTCTACATTGTTTTTCATCTGTTTTTCATACTTCAAGCTTCTCTCAATTGGCTGCAATGGATGTTTTTATATTTAACAATGAGTCACCAGAAACCTATTTGAAGTGATTTGTACTTAGATTAGGCGTGATGACTAGTGGTCATCATTGTGAGGGGATTTGTACAGAGCTGGCCATTTTGTGGAGGCTGCAAAATGTCGATGACTGTTCTCTTTGAGCATTTACTCTCTCCTGAGAAGACAATCTGTCTCATGAGAACTAAGCTTGCTGCTTACTTTCTGGAAGCCTAGCAAGGAAGTCAGCACTGTGGCCTCCCAGGCAGGAGGTTGATTTTTCCTCAGTACTCCTGTTTTCACTCTTGCACTGACTCTGGTGTCCCGGGGTTTGAAGGCTTTTCTAGAATAAGCCTCTTGGTTTCTTTTAGGAGTCCCAGCTGTACAGATAAGGGAGGGGACTTGAGATTCTAAGTGCTCTTTTCAACTCATCTTGCTGTTTACGGTCTTACGATATATCCCTGCCTTCTATGGTACCTTGTTATTTCAAGTCGTGGGAGAGAATTGTTCTAAATATCTTTGTTCTGTATTTCTTAGTTCTTCCTTCTCATACTACAATTCAACCTTTTTAAATGGATTCTATGACTTAGTGACAGTTTTGATGCTCTTAAGTATCATTATCTTCCAATATCTTTTCTTTTTTTAATGCTCAGCTCTTTTCTCTGATAAGGGGTTGGTGTGAAATTGATCTGAAATCTTTGAAGCAAAATCCATAAATGACTAAGAAGTTGAGAGCAGGGTTTTCTGGAAATGAATGAAAACTACTGTTACCAGAAAATATATAATTTGTTGTTTGGAAATAGAGAGAAGGACCTAGAAAGACAGCATTAGTTTGAATGGAGGCAGGAATAGCAGGAAAGGTAAACCCTCACTTAAATTTAGAAACCAGTTTTATGGTTTACTAGGGTCCCTTGAGAAGTAGTTCTTACAGGTGATTAAATATTAGGATATTTCATTATTTATGTGACACAAAGCAATCTGTCTCTTCTGTGTCAGATGTAATCTCCATATTCAAACAGTCATTAATTTTAGTTCACTTTGCCAAAGAAGAGAAGTGTTTATTATCTTTTGGTTTATGCAATTAATTTTATTTTTAATAGAGTTCAAAGATGATATCTATCAGTTTGGTGTGATGGGAAATTCTGGCAAGCAATATTGTAAAATAAAAATAGTGCAGCAGGGCAGATCTTGAAGCCAATTTCTTTTTTTCTTTTTTTTTTATTATAAAGATGTGGGTACAATTCAGCGTTAGGTATACAGACGTTGTTTTTGCAGGTATCCTTGTTGATGAGATATGCCCCTCCCTCCTCCAGCAGTTTCCCCTCAACTGCCAATTTCACCTGAAGCCAATTTCTTAATTTGTCATTCTTTCTTTATAGATTTCCCGGCTGTGAATTGGGTTCTTCAGTTTGATTGTCCAGAGGATGCCAACACATATATTCACAGAGCAGGCAGAACTGCCAGGTAGGTGTACTGACCCATTTCTTTGCTTTTAATGTTGTCTGAGTAATAAAGCATGCTTCCCCAGCTACAGAGAAACAGAGGTCAGAGGAATTCAGGTGAGTGAGTGCTGGTATAGCATTTTGTGGTGTGGGTTGATAGCAACTTGACAGCTATGGTAAATCATTACGACTTAGACTTGATTAGTGCTGAGAAAAACCTATGCAAATCTTATTTTAGTTTTTTGTTTTAAATTTTCTTTCTTTTTTTTTTTTTTTTGAGACAGAGTCTTACACTGTAGCCCAGGTTGGAGTGCAGTGGCACCATCATGGCTCACTGCAGCCTGGAACTCCTGGGCTCAAGTGATCCTCCCACCTTACCCTCCTAAGTAGCTAGGACTACAGGTGCGTGCCACCATGCCTGGCTGATTGTTAAAATTTTTTGTTGAGAGGGAGTCTTCGCCCAGGCTTTAACTTTCCCTTACCAAACTTTTTACCACAACTGCTCACTGAACGTCAGTCAACTCCTGAATCCTAATGACCTCTCAGTATAGGACTACGGTGGTCTTCCCTTATCCTCGGGGATACATCCCAAGGCCCCCTGTGGATGCCTTAAACCTCAGATAGTACCAAGCCCTATATGTAGTATGTTTTTTAATCTTATAATCGAGACACTAAGTAACAAGTTGGTACTCTAGATCATCTAGATCTTGTGCCCTTTCCTTCTGGGGTATAAGCTCTAATAAGAGGCAAGGTGATTTTGAGTCACGGAGTTTTCCTTTTTCTTTCTTCCTAGTGCAGGAAATAGAAGCATTGCTGAAGACCACTTCCCATCCCTCCCTCTCTCTGTACTTCACCCCCCATATCTGATAAGGGCACCCTGTATTTGCTCCAGAAGGATGAGGAAACTGTCTAGAAAAGAACAAAGCAAAGTCAGTCATAGGGAGCTAAAGAGCATAGACTAGTATCCGAATGAATGAAAACGGTTTACGTAATATGTCATTGCTGTTGAGCTGTGGCGGTGAAGCTGGGAGACGTATGCTCTTGGTAGAATTGTGAGTGGTTAACATTTTTCTGGAAAGTGTATGATAATACTATAAAAAACCTTAGAGTTTTTCCTTTGACCTTAGTAATTCTACATTCAGAAACGGATTTTAAGGAAATGGTGAATAAAATTTCAGTAAATGTTTGTCTTACTGATGTTTGTAATTGGAAATAACTTTGTTAAGTGATTAGTATTTATTTAGGTTTTGATCGATTATGATTATAGCTGCAGATAGACTGTTTCTTTGGTTTTACATTTTTTTCCTCATCAAAACTGGATGATTAGATATTTATCAGATGGATTTCAGTGCGGTCTCACTGGAGCAGCAGTTGCTTCTGATTTCAAGCCACAAGCTTTTCTTCAGGGTTTTCCCAGGGATGGCAGGATCTTCAGGCTCAGGCAGAGACTGTGCTTCACTGCCAGGCTTGCTTTTTCACTTGTCCTGTGTCCATTTCAGGAAGTGGCCCCAGGTATGAAAGTGTCCTCTATCCATTGTTTATCTAGGAAGTCCCTTTGAAGTTTAGTTTGCTTAGATTTCTTTGTATTTATAATTTATGGATGGTTTTGAAGAAAAACACATTTTTTTTCTATGTGGTGACATTGTGTTTGTTTCAGCTGAACTGAAGGCTTTTCTTGTTCTTCTACAGCCTAGCAAGAAGAAGAGTTCTTTTTTTCTATTCGTTTTCTAATTTTCAAAAGGTGTATTTAAATATTTGAGTGTTTACTAAACACTCAAATATTTAAATAAGGTTCATATTTACCTTTTGGGCCACCTTTAAACATGGCTTCATATTTCAGTGGGTTCATATTTACCTTTTGGGCCACCTTTAAACATGGCTTATAATCAAAATGGCGTTGAAATTAAATATTTTTTTTGACCAGTGTGAAAGAAGGGAGAGAATAGTACAATAGTGAAAGACTATTTAGAAACAGGATTTATGTACTAAAAGTTTAAAAAGTAAGTCTTTTCATTGCAATTAATGGTATACTTTTAAACACAGAAGAGTTATAACTGGGTCTTGTGTATAATGTCTTAGTACATTTGGACAGGCTTGTCTTTAGAGTTTTTTCTTCTTGGAGCTAAGTAAAATGGGCCATCATTGGAATAGCAGCCTGTTTTCCTTTCCATTTTATACGAAGGTGCATGGTGCCTCAGTGGTCTTTAATGTGCTGGGTACATGTTCCATGATCATGCATCGTAAGAGATTCTGAGAAGTCATCAGTGGTGGTTAGTGGAATGACCTCCTTCACTGTGTAATTCTCAATAAATGTGTACTATGTATACATTTGTACATGTACCCATGTTGCATTCTGTGGTTCTGTGGGCCTCTGGATAGGTAAGGTTGGATATGGTGTCTCACAAGTCAGGGGCTAAAGTATTTTTGATTTTTTTCAAAAAAATTTTCCAACTTGATATCATCTTTAATTCCATGTATTCTTAAAATGTGATTACTTTGATGTGTATTACATGCTTTTTAAATGTTCCAGTGGTATGGATGTGGACAGGGCAGATTGATTCCTTCATAGACTACATTTAGCAGTTCAGTTATCCTCTTTCTTTAAAGATTATTGGATGTTTCAGTGTTTCAGGAGAAGGTACTAGAAGGGGAATATCTCAAGGCTTGTGGTTTCTGGAGAAGTTGCTAGAAATCTTGTGTAGTTGAACATGCTGTGGTGAGCAGTAATTGGGTCTTAATGACTGTGGAGATGAAGAGGCGTTAGAACAGCATCACATTGTTGTGTCTGAAAAGAGAGAATGCTAATTTAAAGAAAAGTTTTAGTGTAATTTTTAATGTGGTCATTGACTTGTAAAATACAAGCCTGTTTGACCCTTTGTAACCAATTAAAAATATTTTGAATGGACTATTTTAGATATTTAGTCAGTGGAAAGGTTTAGCATATATAATGTCTTTTTCTTTTTTTTTCTGACAGTTTAAACGTTGCCATTAATGGGTGTAGAGATAATTAGAAAGTTTCGTGGGCCATGAGACTGAATAATTGAATTGAATAAAGGCTAAATTAAGATTTGAAACTAATTAAAATCCTGTGTTTTCGGCTGTAATTAAAGCCAGGTTGCCAGACAGTATTTGTTTTTGGAATTGAACTATATAATATATGAGTATAGAAATAGTTTTCATTAGCAAAGTAGCTAAGGTTTGGGAAATCTTTTTTTTTTCTTTCTGTATTGTAGCTAAATAAAAATAAAGGGTGATATAGATACTTGTTGCCTTGAAGTCCTTAATTCTGTCTTTATTTGTATTTCTAAATTTTTTGATCTGTAGCAATTGAGAAGTTTCCCTCCCTTTCCTTAACCATACCCCTTTTAACAGAATGGTCTCTAGAGACCAGTGAGGCAAGGGCTATGAATGTAGTTTTGTAATGCTGTATCCTTGGATAAGTTTTGCAACTTAAAAAAGCCATTCTCCTTAGAGCTTATGTTTTTTGGGTACAAGACCAATCTCTTCCTTTTCTTACAAAGATGCCCAGTTGAAAATAGAAAAGATTTTCCATTTGGGAATGGAAAATAGACATTAGCTACTCCTCATTTTACAAATACTTTTATTTAGGGAGAGTGGTAGAGGTCCGTAGGTGGAAGGTGGGAATTTATATATATCTATTTTCTTTTCCAGAATAGTGGGAGGCAAATTTTGAGCAAAATTTCAGCTTAGCCTTATTTGCCTGACTGTATTTCACGGCTGTCAGAATTTCTGTAATTGAAGTAGCAGAATGTGATTCCAGTAGGGGGCAGCAGAGGCCAGACCTTTGCATCGCGCACTCTTGCTGCAGTTTCGTCCTCAGCAGCAAATAGGAAGATGGAAACTAGTTAAAATGTCTAATAACTTGTGAAGAGTTCATGGCTGTTTGTGGGGAAATACTGGTTCTTTATGGAATAATGATAATTTTTTATAGTGTCTTTAATTGGTTTGTGAATTGAAATAATCAAAAGAAAAGACAATTTCCTTGAGCATTAGCTTACTGAAGCTTACTGTGCCTATCTTAGATATAAGGTAGGAGCAGTCTTTGCTAGTGAAAATTCTTATTTCTTTCATTCCTTTAGCTTAGATTTGTGAGGGTCTTTTCTTCTGTCTGCTCCTCCTATATAGAGGTTGGTGCTTCCTTATGTGGCCTTTTGCCTTTGTTGGCATCTATAATTTAAAGGTTGAATAAAAGATTACAGCGATTTTTAAAAATTTTGTGTCTTGAAACAATGAGAAGCTAGGGTTGACTATAGCCAGTATAGCTATAGAGTTAGAGAAGCTATAGAATTAGATAAGGGGGATAATAGTTGTCTATTATTTCCCAGGCAACCCTTTCCCCGCCTTGTTCTGTCTAGTCAATACAGCAGACAGAGTGAACCTTATAAAACACAAGTCAAGTCATGATACTGCTCTCATGGCTTCCCATTTCACTCAGAGTCAAAGCCAGTGGCCCCTGGGCTCATCCTGTTCGTCCCATTTCCCCCAGTTTTGTGTTATTCTCCTCTTGTTTCCATGCTGCATATTGGTCATGCTGTTGCTTGCACATGCCGACGTGCTCTTGCCTTTGTGTTAACTCTCTTTTCTACTGGAATGTCTTTTCCTCAAGAGTCCACATGGCTACCTTTCTTATCTTCCCAGTCACATCTTCTTCCCTTGCTCTATGTCCTTTTTTTCCATAGTACTTATCACCTTCAAACATGCTAGAGCATTTACTTAGTATATTTTTAGATTGTTTCTTTTTCCTTATGAGTGTAAGTTCCATAAAGGCAGCAATGTTTGTCTAGTCTATTAATGTACCCCAAGTGCTTAGAACAGGATGTGGAACATAGTAGACCTTTGAAATAATGAAGTATACTTATGAATCAGATCTTATTGAATATGTTAATTGTCTATTGTTGTATAACAGATTGCTCCATGGCTTAGTGGCTTAAAGCAATACCATTTAATATCTTATGGTTTCTGTGGGTCAGGAACCCAGGTATGGCTCATCTGGGTTCTCTG